ATAAGACCTAGTACTGCCTTACGATGTTAATAAGATATGTATTGTCCAAGAGTGTGTAAAATTATGTGTTATATTTAGACGGTGCTCCTAAAACAAATCTACCAAGTTAAGAACAAGATGAGCATTAAATTTAAAAGATTCAAACTTTAAAAATAAAATAAAAGGCAAAGTATGAAAATATTCTAGATTTCTTCTATGAGCAAACATCATGAAAATATGATGTAAATTATTATATAATTTCATAAAACATATTAGAGAATAAAAGCATACATATTACCTTTTTTTTTCTATAGGATATTGTATTTTAGAAGTGTAATTACTCCACTAGGTTATCTTGGATAACTCATGATACTATTTTATTATTTTTTTTCAGGTTTAAAATTTTGAATAAGATGAATACTAGAGGAAAGAATATGTACAAAAGGTGAGGTCAACAAAAAAAATGTAATCTAATTATTTATTAAGTAAGTTATTTTCTATAGTAGCTCTTTCAATTTATATTTGGATTGTAAAATGTTAGTGATAGAAAATAAAAATAAAAAATAAAAAATTTTAATTTCATCGTCGAACCATATGTTCAAGCTTTGAAAGTTCCAAGCCCTGATTCTGGTCGTGACAAAACACACCTAAGAATTCTGAAGTATAGTAATGCATCAATTGCTTGAATGTTGGCCTCAGTTCTTGACATTGATTCCACTTCTCCTTGCCAATCATACTTTCTCATAGCAAATTGAGCAATATAGCACAAGGGTCTTCTAGAGTCATAGCATAGTGCATAGCAAGATGCGCATGAGTAAGAAAAATCATTAATCCTTAAAAATTCATAAATAATTTATTGTTGATTCAAAAATGAATGAGATAATACATCTTATTGGCAAAAAGATACAATAATACAATTAAATTGAAAGATAAACATTCGTAAATACAAAAAAATCATGGTTCAATGGTTCAAAAAAACTAAACTTTAAAGATTAGGGACAAAGCAAAAACAAAAAATTTATTTAAAGTCACATATGATATTAATAAACTAAGCTAATTTTCCGAAGTGTCATCATTGTTACCATAGATCAAAATAGTTTCATTTCCATAATGATCACTCCAAATTAAATATTGTTCATCACCGTTATCATTTTCGTATGCAAGTGTGATCAGCCAAGAAAAAGACTTCTTTTTTTTTTGTTAGAACATATCAAATGTTGCATTTTTCTCATATATTACGGGTTTTCGCTATGGTGTTCCATGTTAACTCTCTTCAGTAAAATTCCATGTCATTTTCCTCATGAGACTCATCATTCAATTTCACAATTACCTACTCATTGGCTTCAACAGCTTTAGAAATGCACACTAATCACAAAGCGCAGATTACCCCGTCTTAACTAATGCAGCAGACAAACTCTTTGCCTGAACTCATGCAATGCACTGTCATCTCTGCTACCAGCTCATGGATCTGTGAGGTCACTCACAGCTAGCTTACCCATAAAAGGTTGCTCAACTGTATAAGGAAATGGATCTGGGTTGTCCTTTCTTATGGAGAAATCTAGACTACCCGTATAATTTCAGTTTCATGTATTTTTATTGTAATTGTTATAGTCCCCGATTTTCTATATTTCTTGTCAGAATGTTTTCTAGAATTATAAAAAATATGTGCATATGCTAAAATAATGTTCATTCAACCAACTTTCCAATTTACATCATGGTATCAGAACTATAGAACACCTCATCCATCTTTTCAGATTATTTTGTGAAATAAAATACTTTCCAAAATCAGCTCTTCTCTACTGTAACGAACAAATTGTTGTCATGAATTTTCCACGCATGGACATCAACAACGATACTCAAATTTTCTTGGGACTATAGCTAAATCTAAATCCAAAAAGTCAGTTGCAAAACATCCATTAAATATATCAACAAAATGGAAACAGCTATGTAAAGTAGCTGCAATTGATTCACATGTTCTTGAAAAGAAAATAAAAAGATAGGCCACTTGGCATTGAACCTAAGCAAGGAGATCCCATGTTTAATGTCTGGGATAAATAAGAATCAATATTGATGTCCTGGCTGTGAAATTTGTAAGTCCTAAAACAAGTGATATATAGACATTCCTCCATTCAGCAATAAAATATGGGATATAATAAATTAAAAATATTTTAGTCCATGAAGCTGCACAAATATATGAAGTCAAGACCAATATATCATTCACAAGGAACTGAAGGTAATCCATCACACAATAGACCCGATGCATTCCTACACTTCAACCAACCAACTTGAATTCTCCTAATAATATCCCCGTCTATATCACCATCACTTTGAATAATAGACCCAAGATATCTAAAATACGCACACCCTTTAATGATTACATCACACGGTTACAACTCTGTCACTAGAGCTACTACTACAAAAATTACATTTCATGTATTCAGTTTTAGATCTAATCAAACGAAGTCCTTTAGACTCCAATGTAGACCCTCCATATTTCAAGTATTTCATGAACTCCTCTAGTCTTATTCACAATAAGGATATCATCAGCAAAAAGCACACAATAAGTTACACCCTTCTGTAAATGTCCAGTAAGAGCATCCATAATTGAAGCAAAAAGATAAGGGCTTAAAGCCGATCCTTGATGCAATCCAAATAAAATAAAAAAATACTTGCTCAATCATCCTTTTGTTCGAACACAAGAAATAGCTCTAGTATACATATCTCTAATGACTTCAATATAAGTCATATCAACACATTTATTCTCTATAACTCTCCAAAAGACTTCTCTTTGAACTTTATCGTCAACTTTTTCTAAATCAATAAAAATCATATGTAAATCCTCCTTATTCTCTATGTATTTCTTCATCATACCTCTCAATATATGTATAGCTTCCATAGTAGACCTACTCGGCATAAATCCAAACTGATTATGAGAAATCTTTGTACCACGTCTTAACCTATTGTTCAATTACTCTTGTTCAATTACTCTCTTCCATAATTTTAAAGTATGGCACATCAACTTAATTCCTCTATAATTTGCGCACTTTTGTGCGTCCCTTTTATTCTTAAAAATGGGACCAAAAATACTCTTCCACAACTCTTCAGGCATATTTTTAGGTTTTAAAATAATATTAAAGATTTTATAAAACCAAGAAACTCTCAAATCTCATAAATATTTTCACACTTCAATTGGGATATCATAAGGTCCTGTTGAATTTCCACCATTGTTTTTTTTTTAAAGTCTCAACTTCTCTTTCACTAATGCGATGATAAAAACAAAAATTTTATTATTATTAACGATATTAAAATCACTAAGGTCGATCTTATTTTCTGGAACTTCATTAAAAAAATTATCAAAATAACTCACTCACCTATAATGAATATCTTCCTCTAAGAAAAACACTTTTTGATTTTCATCTTTAATACACTTGAATTAAATTTTCATTTTTCTTCTCTTTGTTTGGCTACTTTATACATATATTTTTCATCCTCTTTAGTATTTAATATATCATAAAGATCACTAAAAGCATAATTTTAAGCGTCACAAATTGTTCTCTTAAACTCCTTACAAGCTACCTTATATAAAAAAAAATTCAGACAAATTAAAAAAAATAAAACAAAACAAAATGGAAAGAAAAAAAAGAACTCAAAAGAATATCAAATCAAATAAATAAAACAAAAACAAGAGAAGGCTAAAATTTAAAAATAATAATAATAATAAAACTAAAAAGTCTACCCTCTACCCTGAAAACCACTCCAAATATAAAAAGTTTAATATAATACGAGCCTCCAGCCATTCCTAATGTGCCTAACAATTTGAATTTCACCTCCTTAAGGTCAATTGTGTCAGAGGGGATTCGAAAGCCCGACCAAAGGGATCTTATATCGTGGATGCCAACCAACAGGTCGGAGAATGCAGCACAGATATGTGTGTGTGTCATGCTAATTTGAGGCATTCACATCATACACCTCATGCATAAAACCTCGAGGCATATAGCCTTAAGGCATATAGTCTCAAATGATAAAGGTGCCAACTTTGCTCGGGCCAAAAAAATTGTAAGTCTTGAGGTGCTTATCAGGAGACTCGCGATGAGGTGCTCGATTTGAAAGCGCCTCGAATTAAATGTAGTTACTGACATTATTAAAACTAAAGAAGGAAAAAATCTCAAGACACAAGTATAATGAGAAACAAGTAAATATAATAAATATGAAACATCATAGAATCATTTGAGTACCACAAAGAAGAAATAAAGAGAAACTAAAAAACTAAATAGAATCACAAGAAAAAGAAATATGTATAACGGATACTTGTACTCTAGCAATCTCAAGTATTACCTCTCTCGCGATTTTAATGTCTCAAAAATGTCCATTTCTAGCTCTTGGATCATTGACTCGGTAGCTATAGAGCATATGGACAACTCATACAAATTTATTTCAAACACTTGTTGTTCTAGCAACACAAAAAATAATTCCTGACAATGAAGCTGATCCAAGGAACATTCTCATAAACAAATCTTTTACAATCTTAAATGTCCTCCACATGCATAAGTAAAAAAGATATTATACTCGAATTGAAATGTATAGTCTCATATGAAGAAAGCTGCCATGTTAGGAGTCAAACGCAATAAACCTTATCATTTTATCAAAATAGGGGTAGTTTGGCTCCATTTTCCACAGATTTTGTGAGAAAAAAATCCTTGATATAAAGGAAAGCCTTTCCTCTATTTTATCTTTTTTTCTTTCATTTAAAATTCCAAATTGAAATGAAGTGATTCTTTTCTTTCTAATCCTCTTCTTTTTCTCTCTGAATTTAAACTCCCACTTATCGTGTAAGTATGAAGATATGATTATATGGAATAATAGAAACACCTAAAGTAAAATTGCTTCCTACTTTTATCCTTATTAGAAACACGGCACCCAGAAACTTTTGAGCAACACATCCAAAAAATATGCTGAACGCTAAATAAGAAAATGATATTTTAGTATTTTTAACATGAGGATCAAGAAAGCCAGAAAGATACCTCAGAGAAGGTTCTTTGATCAGCACTAAGGCGCTTTGTTGACAGTTCCTTTAATGTTCTAAAAAGAACCATAAAAACCCTATGTGACGTTAGTATGTCCGCTGACTGAAGCTGCTGTGCCAAGAAGGAAAAAAGCTCTGGCCTGAGTAATAAAATGTAAAAATTAACACATAGAGCATCTAAATACATGGCAAATAAAGCTTATAAATCAGTACAACAAAAGGTCAGATTTCAGCAGATACAAGCTGCTGCTCTCAATAGAGATCAACAGTCCTGAGAAATACCATATCCAAAACCAATTTCTACCAAAGTATCAATTCAATAACTTCTGAATATTGTGCATTTACTTATTTAACTGAACTAGACATCTTTGACCAAACACTTCTCCCAATGCAAAAGACATTTGAACACATCCTAACAATCTGAGTATAAACAAGGGATAAAAAAAGTAATACTGTAGTGGCCAATGCCACCAAAGTTTTTTTTTCTTTTTTTTTTTCCTTTTTTTTACTTTTATGCCGTTTATCTTCCATGGAGCTTATGATAAATTATACATAGGTCCTTACATTTAATGATTCTAACTTTTGAATGTGCCAATTTCTTGAAAAGTTTGTAATATCTCCCTAATACCCATATTCGAGGATTCCCAAAACCTCTCACAATATCAGCTAAAACGGCTGTGTCCTTGTTCATGATATAAAGCACGTCCCTATGACACAGGCCAGTAAGATCAAGCATTTAAAGATTTATGATTATCAACTGACAAAGACTTTTGCAACTGAGTCATCTAGTAGTAAGATGCCTTTTAATTCATCAGCAGTTAATTAATCTTGATTATTTAAAGCAAATGTTGTGAATATTCATTTATTTACTAATCAGAATTAATAACTGAAACCTTAAAGATTCCACTAAATAATTGCATCATACGTCTAACAGGATAGTTAACTTTGATCGACAAAAAATTACAGCTATATGGTTGTAAGGAATTTTCAGTCCCTCTTCCTATACTTTCAGGCATTAGTATAACCTATTTTGCAGATTCAACAATTCAAATGTTTGGAGAACCCAACATCAAATAGATAGATTTGTGATTTATCTTTTTAACACTTTTTCGCTTTCCCAGTCAAATTTTGCAGGGTTTTTACAGTTTTATTGTCCATTCAACATCACTTTGATACAGTACAAAATAGCTTGTTTTGTCCATTTTCATAAGGAGTGTAAACGAGCTACAAATAAGTTGAATTAGATTAATCTACAACCATTTTTAGAACTTTGATGAAGTACAAATTAGCTAGTTTAGTACAAAAAAAAAACTAGATTTTCATAGGCCAATCAATAGAGTCAAATCAAGTGATCCGGAGTTAACCCAAACCATGACATAAGACATAAATTTATTAATAACTTTTAAAAAAAAAGGACGGTTACAATGATGGCTCAAAAGAAAAGAGAAGACGCCACATAAATTAAAACATGAAACAAAACATTACAAGCAAGACTCGAAAGATAAAGAAACAACAAGCTCGACGAGAAGGGAGTTCGGAGAGGTAGTGCTGGAGTGGCGAATGCGGTGAAGACCGGGCCGATGTCGTGAGAAACCGGGCAGCAAGTAGGCGCTCGTCGAGACGTAGAACCGCAGCTGGAAGAAGCGGAAAACGTCGCGAAGGGTGGACACCGAAGGCAGCAAAGATGACGGTCGAAGCCGAATTGAGACAAGTATGGAAGCCAAAGACGAGGAATCAAGACACAGATGGCAGCAGAAGCCGGGGAGCAGAGGCAAGTCTGGCGATCGAAACTGAGGAGCGGAGACACGGAGGGAGGCCAAAGCCGTAGAGCGAAGGCACGGAGGGCAGCCGAAGCCAAGGAACAAAGAAAATAGAAGACCGTGGGCTACAGAAAGGTGGAAGGCAGCTGCAAAAGGTGTTGGGAAGGATTGGTGGAGGCCGCGGCCTGCTGTGAGAGAGGCGGCAGAAGGCGATGGGGGCAGAGAAGCTTAAGGCGAGGTCGCTGGAAGGGAAACAGGGAGCTACGAAGAAATTTTTGCCGACTTATTTATGTGTAGACATGCAATCTGAAGCGTCCTTTTTTTAAAATCAGTCTACTACAACCATTTACAGAATCCTTGTTCTTCTGTGTTTTGGGCAAACCTAATACGAAGTCCATGTTGACATCCACCAATGGTGCTTCTGCTACAGGCAACGGCGTATACAACCTTGTATTCTGCCCTCTTCTTTTTGCCAAAAGGCAAATCCTACATTGTTGACTTGTCGCTCTACATCCCTTGGTAGTCGAGGCCAGAAGAAGTGTTCTTTGAAGAGGATGAGAGTCATGTCTCTACTGAAATGGCCAGCGATGCCTCCATCATGGTTCTCTTATACAATCTCTTCTCTCAAAGAACATCTAGGATTGCATAGTTTATTGCAGTAGAACAAATAGTCATCTGCACGATAGTACTGCCCTATCGGTTTTTCCTGACATTGTTCCCAGATATCTTTAGAGTCTTCCTCTGCTTTATATAGGTCTTTGAAGATCTCGAACCTTATGACGCTTGTTTGCATTGAGGTGATTAATAAGTGATGTCTTCTTAGTGCATTTGCAACATGACTTTGGCTCACGGCTTTGTGTTTAAATATGAAATTGAATTATGCTAAAAATTCAACCCAGATTGTGTGTCAGCCTTTAAGCTCACTCTAGTTGTTCTGAAATTTAAAGGGTTCATAATCTGTAAACAATGAAAACTCACTTGTCAGTAGATATTGGCTCCAATTCAAGAGAGCTCTTACAATTGCGTAGAATTATTTGTCGTAGATTGAATGCTTCCTCTTGGATTCGTTGAGTTTCTTGCTAAAAAAAGCGATGGGGTGACCGTCCTGACTCAATACGACCCCGATTCTGACACCTAATGCATCACATCCTACTTCAAATAGTTGTGAAATCTGGCGAGGCTAAAACCGATGCTTAGAGTTACTTTTTCTTTGAGTGTGTCATAGCTAATTTGAGCGGTGGCCAAGTGAACTCTTTGCCATTTAAAAGCTAGACGAGGGAAGTGATAACAGTGCTGAAATTTTTTAATGAAGCAATTGTAGAGCGATGTTAACCCCAAAAACTGTCTTAATTCGGTGAACAACAGCAGTGTGGTACACCTTATAATGGCTTCAATTTTTGTCAGCTCCATTTGAATGCCTACACTGGATACTATGAACCCAAAAAGTATACTTGATTTGTCATGAAAATGCATTTCTTTGGATGGGCGTATAGTTTATCATTTCGGAGTACTTCAAAAACTATTGTCAAATGTTGTACATGATCCTATTCTGAATGGCTATAAATCAGTATGTCGTTAAAGTAGACTACGAAGAACTTCTCGATGAGGTTGTGAAATATCTGATTCAATAATCTCATGAAAGTGTTGGGTGCATCTGACAGGCCAAAATGTATGATTATCCACTCGTATAGTCCATCTCGAATCTTAAAGGTTGCCTTCCATTCATTGTCTGGTCTAATATGTAGCTACTGGTATCCATTGCGTAAGTCGGTATTTGAGAATAGAGTAGCTCCGTGTAAGTGTTCCAAGAGGACGTCTACTCTAAGAATTGGGAATCAGTACATGATAGTTATTTTGTTTATGGCTCTTTTATTGATACACATCCTCCATGATCCATCTTTTTTTATGGCACTCTTAGGGACTTTTACTTTCTCGAAGTAACCCTCTGGTGATGATGTATGTACTTGTCATTACAGTTCCTTGTATTCCGCTGGTCTGAGTCTGTATACAGGTCTATTTGGTAGGACTAGTCCTGGTATAATGTCTATAGTATGTTGGATGTCCCTCGGTGGTCATAGTCTCTCTAACAGGCCATCTATCATGATGTCCTAGAAGTCTTGTAGTCGAGGATGTAGGTGTGCTAGTATTAAGTTTTCTTTCTCAGACGCCTCAAGTAGGACTAGGGCTAGCGCCATCGGTGCTTCTCGAACAGACTGCATGAAAGTGGCTCTTGGAATGATTGTTTCCTCGGTGTCTCTGGCGTCTTTACTAGGTAATAATATGATGTGTTGGCCATCTTTATTGAATGAGCATGTGTTTTTAAACCCGTCATGTTGAGCTTTGTGGTTGCATTGCCAAGGTCATCCCATTAGAATATGGTATGTGTCCATGGGAACGACATCACACCATACTTGTTCCTTTAATTGGTTGTCTATCGAGAACTCAAAAAGGGATTGTTGATCCACGCGGATTTCATTCCTTTTTTCAGGCAAGTGAGGGAATAGGGACCGGTTGTTTTTGCATGGTTAATTCTAACTTTGTTACCACTAGTGTTGATTTAACATGCTCACAACTATCATTGTCGATTATCAAGTTGCAAACTTTTCCTTTAAATATACACTTTATGTGAAAGATGTGTCGTGGCCATGACGGATCACGTGTTGGTTTTGATTGTAGCACCCATCGTATGACTAGTAATTCGCCTTCATCCTCGAGAAGCTTAAGTAATTCTTCAGTAGTTTCTTCTGTCTCCTCATCCTCGCTTTCCTCCAGGACACCTTGATCTGTAAAAGAGACAATTCGGCTGGTAAGACAGTTGGAGGCGATGTGGCTAAAATCATGGCATCTAAAACACTTTCTGGCTAACATTGGCCCCAATGAGCTACCTTTTTCGTGTTTCTTGTTGTTTTGATCGGTTTTTGCATTCCCATATATTGGTTTCCCTATTCCTTATGTGCTTTTTTCGGTAGGTGTAGTTGTTGAGGTTGGATTGTATGAGAATTGTTGTTGGAAGGAAGACCGAACTGGTCTGCTTTTCTTGTCATTCAACTTTCAAGGTTAAGGTTTGGATGTCACTTAGCGACCAATAGGGTTGTAGTTGAACTACATTGCTAATCGCGGGTTTTAGGTCTTCAAGATAGCGGACGAAGGCATGCTCCTCTTGTTCGACCAAGTCGGGCTTTATTTGTAACTGATTGAATTTGGCTCTGAATTCCTCTACATACATCTCTCTTTGTTAAAGGTGTGGAGCTTCAGAAACATGTCTTGGCAGTAGTGTGGGGGTAAGTATTTTTATAGTAAGGCTTTCTTCATTGTGTCACTGTGGTCCCTCATTCACTGACGTTGTAGGTTGTCCCACCATAACAAGGTGTGTTTTCTCAGTTTAATAGATGCTAGTTTGAACCGCTTATCTTCAGGTATCTCCTTGTATTCGAAAGTTCGTTTGATTGTTCACAGCCAATCAAAGAATTCATCTGGATCCATATCGCCATCAAATTCGAGGAGATCTACTTTAATGCTAAAGTCGCAATGTTCGATGGATTTTTCTTGTGGTCACCTCGGGTATTGGATGTCAAAACGGTGTGGACGGTATTCTTCATCGTTGAAATCTTCCCGATAGAACGAATTCATGTCGGCATCCCTGTCTTCTCATTGACTCACCGGGTCACGATCGAGGGTAACCTTGCCTTGGGTCCCTTCATCTAATTCTGTCAATTGTTGTTGTAAACGACAGATTTCACATCGTAGCACATCCCGGGCGGGGCCCGGTACGTTTCTTCTGGGGGGCATACTTGATAGTTTAGGGGAGAAGATGTCAAGGAGAGTAGAGGGAAAGAAAGGAAGGTTAAAGAGAAGAGAGAGAGAGAGAGAGAGAGAGGAAAGCAAGAAAAGAAGGAAGAGGGGAAAAAATTTTTGTTTGGTTAGGGGTGCAGATGCTAAGGAACCATAGAATAGACTTAGGGTTGGGCTAGCTCTAATACCAAATGATACCAGAGTTAACCCAAACCACAATGCAAGACACGAATTAATTAATAATTTTAAAAAAAATGACAGTTACAATGATGACTCAAAAGAAAAGAGAAGACGCCACATAAATCAAAACATGAAGCAAAACATTACAAGCAAAGAGTCAACAAATAAAGAAATAACAAGCTCGACGATGAGGGAGTCCCGAGAGGTAGTGTCGGAGCAGCAGCTGCGACAAAGGCCGAAGCGATGTCGTGTGAAAGCGAGCAGCAAGTGTGCGCTCGTCAAGGCGTCTAACCGAAGCCGAAAGAAGCAGAAAACAACATCAAAGTGTTGACTCCGGAGGCGGTAAAGATAGCGGCTGAAGCCGAGCAAGGGAGACAATAATGGCAACCAAAATCAAGGAGCGAAGGCACGGATGACGATCAAAGCCGAGGAGCCGACGCACGTCTGGCGGTCGAAACCGAGGAGCGGAGGCAGAGAGGGCGGCTGAGCCAAAGGAGCGGAGACAATGGAAGACTGAGGGCTGCATGAAGGAGGGAGGCAATGGCGGGAGGCGCCGGGAAAGCTTAGTGGAGGTTGCAGCCTGCTTTAAGAGAGGCAATTGGGGCAGAAATGTTTCCGAAAAGGACGCTGGAAGGGCAGCAAGGAGCTGCGAAGGAATTGTGGTTGCAATGGAGACGGTTGGAAGACAGTGAGTGGACTGTGAAGCTGCAGGTGGCTGCAACAGTGACAGTTGGAAGGACAGCAGGTGGCTACGAACTGCCTGCAGTAAAGCTGCAGGGGGGATCGGCCGGCTGTTTAGCTTGCAGGAAAGTGTCTGGCGGTGCTGGAGGGTGGCTAGAACGCCAGTGGACTGCAGGACAGCAAGTAGTGGTCGAAACGGCGAAGATAATCACCACCTTGGACGATATTATAGCCGGACCGGAGAACCTTCCTCGTCCTCGGATACAGCAGTCGAGAGGGAAAAAAAACTCATACAAAACTGAATTCAAATTTTAAAAGAAAGAGCCCTAACACTAGGCAGTCCAACTCCTATTTATAAAAAACCTGACCCAACTTAGGGAACATTTAAAGTAAGGAGAATAGAATAAAATTAAGATCTCAGATTTCTAGAAAGGGTTTTAAATTAGGAAAGAAGAATAAAATAAAGATTTAGGCTTTTATGAGAGGGTTTAAATTAGGAAAGGAGAATACAATAAGGATTTGGGCTTTTATGAAAGGCCTAGGAAGGAAAATAGGAAGAGGAAGAAAGGAAAGAATAGGAAGGGAGAAAAAAATGAAGGGGAAGCGGAGGAGGAAAGAGGGGGGTGGTGAGGCGCCCTCCAAGAGGACCGGTCGGTCCTCTTATGAGCCCCGCGACATCAAACTACACAGAATAAAAGTCGAACTAGTTTCCAATCATTCTTAGAATTATATTACTTGTTGCCAAATTTTCCACTATTTTAGCTTATTTCTTAAATTTAATTACTCACTTTGGATATAAAGTTAGGTTTGAATCTTTAGATAAAATTTGACACGGCTCAAGACAAAATTAGATTTGATTTCAATCTGGGTCCTTATTCATGCAATCCTGTTTCTATAAATAAAAATCACTGTGGGTAATTGATCAATGAACATTAAAGAGTGCAAATTATTTGTGAGGCAAAATAAGTGCACTTTACATCTAAATTGCATACAAGGATCGCTCCAATCTTATAAAAAGCCTTGGATCCCCATTGGACCTTTGATTGGCTATGAATCCAACTCAAAAATGCAATTTTGCTGAAATCCAAGCAATCTGCATGCACAACTTGGATCCCACCCCAACACACAACAGCTAGTGAAAACAACAGTGGAAGCCTTTGGATCTAGACTCGCATCTCACTTAATCAAGACTATCCATTAATTTGATCATCATAAAGCACACAAATAAGGAAGATGTCATTATCTCCACTTTCCCGGTTCAGTTCTATTTAGATAATTCCTTGGTCTGACCTGCAAATTTATCAATCCTACCTAAGGAATAAGAAAAGTATATTTCATTTCATCACCCTTCTGGGATCAAACATCTTTCATGTAGCATGCATTAGAATTAGAACTAAACCATTGGATTCAATAAATCAAAAACTTTCACATCCCTAAGAAGGTTTTTCTTAATGTTGATAAGTTCAGATTGGTTCACGATCAATTTCATTTCTAAGCCAACTAAACTGCTATTTTTTTTGTAATAACCATGGACAAAAAAAATAGCATTTAGCCTATTCGCATTCATCAGAGGTCTTAAAACATTAGCATTCCTGGCCCCAACATAATTCCATCAAAAATTATTTGCATAATTCCATCAAATATCATTTCATCAGTATCATAATGTTCATTAGGTTTAGTAGTTTACAGATTGTAAAGGAGATTTTATTACTCTGCTCTTACTGGTGTATGTTCCCCAAATCTGAACCTTGCTGTTGAAAATGCCACATCAAGCAAAGAATAATTTAATTCGGCGAAATTTAATAAAACTAAATGGTATTTTGCTTTTAGCATCACAAGGACAATTTTAACAGCCATGTCAAACAGCTTGAAGCAACTCATCTAACCATTTTGGTTAATTGTGAAAATCCAACAAATTGTGCCTGAAAATTTTTAAATGGCACGAGTTGGTGGTATACCGGTCTGCATATATTCAAGAGACTTCAAACTTCATCTGTTTTACAAAAAAAAATCCAAGGCAATGGAGGTAAACAAGCTTTCGTTTTTATCAATTTTGCATCCTTGCATCATTATTTATCTTTTCCACAATTTTATTAACCTTCTGCTCCATGGTTCATAGGGAAACAAAAAATCTGTGAAAATAAGCTCTGGTAAACATCGTGGACATCGAATTATATTTCGACCGTGAAGGTAATTATATTCCACCCAGAATGAATCAAATCATTATAGGATTTGACATATTAGGTCACAGTAAAATTAATTAGACACCTAATTTGAGGCTTTCTATGGTCATAATGTGATGGAATAGTAATTAGAATCAACTTACTATCCGATAGCATCTCGTGCTTTCTTGATCTATAAAAAGGTTTCAGATGCTGGCATAGACAAAACAGAAAACAGTTAATAATCACATATAGACCAAACAGAATGCATTGGAAAACACACATTGATGTCTAAATGAAACCATTTACGGACCAAAAAAAGGAAGTGTCACTGGGAAGGCCAACAAGTTCTAGAACAAAATTTCTCACACTCAAATACAATGAATGAATCAAAACATAATTTCCAACAGGTTTTATCAAAAAATACATAATTCGGCAACAAATATACTGCAATTTCATTTTACAACTGCTAAACAATTCACTTAATATGACAAGCTATGATCAACAAATGATCAACTTCTCAAACTGTTTGCAAGCAGCGTCATTATCAGAATTGAAGAATTTTAAGCAAAATATAGGCTGGGAGTGTATTATGTCAATATCCATATTTGGACTGACTTAACAACTGGTAAGAAATTCAAAAAAAAAAAAGCAAAAAATTAGACATAACACTGTGATTAACTGTCCTAGATAAAAAAGCTTTGTAACCACAATTTATTAGTGTTGATAAAAGAAAAGGCCAATAAACAAGAACTTGCCATTCTTTCGGATAATCCATACGTGCAATTTTTGAGATAAGATCAGCCAAGTGAAGTGCTATCTGTAGAAATATAATACACAAGCAAAGAACATTTGAACATTAGAAAGAGCCTACTTATGTGTTCTACAGTGAAAATCATAAAGGGGTCTACGATAAAAATCATACAAAAATATAAATGTCCATAATATTTATATACAAATCAAAAATATGTGAAAATGAATTAAATTTTAATTCTTGTTATAAAATGCATGCTCCAAGCAAGAAAAAGGAAAACTAAAAAAACCTACAGCATGAATCTTTACCTGAGAACTTTCTTCACGAATACCTAACAACAACTTTTTCCGAATATGAGCTTTCTCATCATTGCTGATAACACTGCATGCAGAAATTGCAATTTGTTTACAGGTTAACCAGTAGCAGATAGTGGCTTGACAAAAGAACAAAAAAAAAAAACAAAGAATAAATCCTAAGCATGAATTCGCCTGTTACTGGAAAAGCAGAATGACTGAAAAAAAAAACGCACCATCTATCACTACCAAAGTTTTGTCAATTAATATGTATGATCTTCAGCTTCCATGCACAACACAAAGTAGGTTAATTTACGTTCGCAGCACACAATTCTTATGTATTTACATGTTTAACACCTTAACTTTCATATTTACATACATAGCACTTCGGTGCTTTGAACCCATGCATGAAAAGGTGTATTTTTCTTTTTAAAAGTGGTAAAAGTACTATCTCTTATGTGATATTAAACATTTATGTGCTACGAGTGTAAATATGGAAGTTTAAGTGTGATATATGTAAATACATTAGAATTGTGTGCTATGTAAAAGCCCATACAAAGTAAAATATTATAAATTTATGGTCTTTAGAAGCACTCACATTAAGTTAAATAATCAAAATAATATATTTTATTGGTGGCTCTAGTTTGTGTTTCTTCCCTCATAAGACAACCATATAAATTAATAGCTTTTCTTTGTGTAAGTCATTCGGCAATGAAATGACTTCTAGATACAGCAAGAAAAAAGTTTCCGAAGTTAATTAGCATATCTCTTCATGCACTTCATTGCTACAACCATAAATTGTCCTCGACCAAACTTTGTTATGAATTAATTTCTACACCAGATCTGTCAAACTCATCATGCCTACTAGTTTTCAGTCCATGAGAAAGGCAAAGAATTTTCATGGTATAAGAAAGAAAGATTACAAAAATTAATTAGCATATTTTTTTAAGCATTTCATCACTTCAACTATAAAATATAAGCTGTCCTCCACCAAACTTTTTGGTAATGGTATGAATTATTTTCTACAATAGATCTGTCAAACTCATCATGCAGACTAGTTTTCAGTATTGAACCTTGAGAAAAACAAAAGAGTTTCGTGGTATAAGTATTTAAGCTTTCAGCCTCCATAAAGTAGATAAACATTTAAACAGCTTCTATATGGATCACAATTGTAATTTTTTAATTATATTGATCATGCTATCTGCAAAAGCATGTCATATTATTAATCAAAAATTTTAGCAGAAAAAAACTCTATATTTGAAATTGAATCTGGATCTTTCTTGTGAATGTGAGAACTATAAAAGTAAGGTTTACGCTTGCCTCGTCTAGTCTAGATTGGGAGTTTCTTCAAAATCATTAGTTTTAGCACAGTCACATTCTCATTTATGAAAATCTCCACATTCATGGATTTGTGCCGAATTACTTCAACTTCATCAATACACCCAGCCACAAAAAAACCTTAATCATCAAACATGCATGAAAAATAAGTTTGGAAAACCCCAAAGATTTTCATGCTTGTCATGCTAAAAGGATAATACTTTTAAGGTAATAATCCATAATTGACATGCATATTGATCCCAATTATGGTTACTTTGATTGGTAAAAGCAATGGAGGTCTCCAATGCCCAAGAGAAAGAGTTCCATGCTAACATTATTAATGTCTTTCCGCTGAAACAACAGATGTCAAAGTTTAAATTTATTAAAAAGTTTCTGATTTCTTCACTCAACTTTTCTTATCCTTTTAGCATGGCATGTTTTGTTGCTGATTGGGCTCTCTGCACATGAATGGTAGATGAGGGATCAAGGAAATAAAAATTGGAATGAAAAAAAAAGAACGATCAAATTATTGTAATACAACGTTTCGACTTAAGATTACTTTCCAACAACCAATAGAGAGTCTAAGTGACACCAATGAGCAAAGAGTGAAACCGTTGAGCCACTGACACTGAGCAGTTAAGAAAAACATGAAGTAGCCCTGTGGTATCTTAATGAGATTAAGATACTAGGCAATATCGTATTCGTAAAGAACGGAAAAGTAAAACAGTTGATAATATAGATTCAATCTTCAGAAATATAAGAACTATCAAAGGTGTGATTCATGTGAAATACGAATCTCACCGTTGCCTCCAGAGGCGGCGCACGCAGTTCTTAAAGAAGACGGAAGCCAAGAGCCGGATGTCATCACGGCAAGCCAAATCCCTGGTGACGATGATTTCCTGCATCCAATATTGCTTTCAATAATGCCCAGAAACGTCTCATTCGCCTATGTTCCTAAAAACCAGCAAACCGAAGAAGTCGGCAACATGACACCGAGACAGATAGCTTACTAGGAGACATGAGCAAAACCCGGGCCGGCGCTCACACTGTGAGAGGGCGGACTCTGCCGGACTTCGTACAGATGCGTCAGGGCTGATGGCGTCGGAGAGGAGTGAGTAGACGGTTTGGACGTCGGACGCCGATAGAGCCATTGTTCCCTCAGCCAATCGGGAGCAAATCCGCCGCCCGCCCCCAGAAAGAAACCAGGAATCGAAGGTACAACTGGGACTCAAGGGAAGTAGACGGAAATGGCGCGGGTAGGAGTAGCTAAGGACGGTATGCTAGGGCAGTGTCGAGGATGGAGCGGAGGGGTGAAGGCGCGGTAAAAGGGAGCGGGGGAAATCGGCACTTCGAGCCGCGGAAAGGGAAAAAAGCCGCGGAAAGGGAAAAAATTTGTGTAGGCAAGACGTACAGGCATTTACATAGCACACAATTCTAAGAAGCATGTTAAAAAATATAGGGGTTATATTCTTGACATTCATGTAAGTTTCATATAATCTATATGTAATTTATATATATAAAAATTGAAGTGCGGAACTTATTTATAAATTCAGATAATTTACAGGTAGGTTATATAGAGGTTACATGGAGGTTATAATATAATATCGGTATAATACTCATATAACATTCATTATGTACGCATAGAGCTGTCAATTTGGCTCGTTGTTCGTGAGCAGCTCGTGTTCGGCTCGTTAAGCAGCTCGTGTTCGGCTCGTTCGTTAAGCCAAACGAGCCGAACACGAATAATTTTTTAAGCTCGAAATGTAAATGAGTCGAACACTAATAACAGTTTGTTCGCTCGTGTTCGGCTCGAAATGGCTCGAAAAAAAATTATATAACTTTTTATATAACAATATATTACATATATTATTTATATAATAATATATTATATATATTTATGTCTGAATTTAAATCATAACATCTCATGTGGCAATGTGGTTAGTGTCTTTTTTTTATATAGATTTGACCCAGGTTCGAATCTCACATTTTACATTTATTTTTCTTAATTTTAGTTTAACGAGCCAATTTCGAGCCGAACACAAAAACGAATATATAAATCGAGTCGAACACGAACACGAATATATAAATCGAGCCGAACACGAACACACTGTTCACGAGCCGATTTCGAACACGAGCTATTTCGAACGAGCCGAACACAAGCCAAGCCTGAGCTCGCTCAAGCTCAGCTCGTTTACAGCCCTATGTACGCAGTGTTGCATATGTCTTACGTACGCAAATTTTTTTCTAGCAAAAAAGGAGTACATCATATCCCGGCTCCAGTGAGGACGTCTATGTATTTACATAACTCCCCCCTAAATTTTTCATATTTATACACATAGTATTCAAATGTTTATATCACATTAAAAACAATACTATTATTTCTGAAATTATTAATCATGCAAGGTTTTCTGGATTATTCAAAACATCAAAAACACACAAATAACGCATAGTATATAAAGGTCTGTGATTGAAAGTGCGTCTAATTCAATAGTTTTTAACATGATTGTCTCGTGCTCTAATTTGACATTAAATTATATAGTTCAATGGACTTGTTAAAATATAAACGAGAAAGAGGATTTTAATCATATATTCAATATGTTCAATTTAATGTGAAAAAATAGTGCAGATATATATATATATATATGATATATTTATTGCCCCGTGTTTATGTGGCATTTGAATATTTATGTTTTGTACTAGTTTATTTGTACAAAACATCCTATCAATAGTATAGCTAATTGATCGAACAATATAGGAACTAAACATCAAGTTAAATGAAAATATTTGTAATTGCTAGCTCATTATTGTTGACCTCACTTTTGGCGAAGGTGTAGTTTTTCTCCTATTTAATAGCCTAGGGTCTAGCCGTATGACTTCCCTGTCGACTACTCATAGAAAACTAGCAAAGAAGCCTCCCCGTTAGAAATTCTGAGATTTACTTTGCTCAACTTGACGCTCCGCATGGTAGTTTTGACCGCTATTACTTAGTAGGTAATACTATTATGGAGGAACTCAAGGAGAGTCTCTATAGGACTGTTGGTCTTAGGATTGACTGTACACGTTAATTTGCCACTATCGCGCTCTTCCATTTAAACTATGAAAATTATGGGGTCAGTTTAACTTCATCTTTTTCAAAACTAAATTTTTTTTAAAAAAAAAAAAAATATCCTTCCGAAGCGGACAACAGGATTTCAATTCCGATGACCGACAGCTTCTTACGGGCAAACCCCACACCAAAAATAGTGCCGACACATAGCATCATGGCTTACTTGCCCATCCTAGTCTAAAATCCCATCAAAATTACCAAAATACCTAGGGCTGTAAACAAGCCAAGCTCGAGCGAGCTCAGGCTTGGCTCGTGTTCGGCTAGTTCGAAATAGCTCATGTTCGAAATCGGCTCGTGTTCGAAATTGGCTCGTGAACAGTGTGTTCGTGTTCGACTCAATTTAAATATTTGTGTTTGTGTTCGGCTCGAAATTAGTTCGTTAAAATTAAATTAAAAAAATAGATGTAAAGTATGAGATTCGAACCTACACCAAATATATACAAAAAACAGGATTAACCACATTATCACATGAGATGTTATGATTTAAACTTAGATATAAATATATATAATATATTATTATATAAATAATATATGCAATATATTATTATATAAATAATTATATATATATTTTTATTTCGAGCTAAAATGAGCCGAACACGAGCGAACAAAGAACTGTTCGTGTTCGGCTCTTTTATAATTCAAGCTTTAAAAACTTGTTTGTGTTCGACTCGTTTACTTAATGAACGAGCCGATACTTAACGAACGAGTCGAACACGAGCTGTTCTCGAACAACGAGTTTTTTTGATAGCCCTAAAAATACCCTTACAACCCTAATTTTTGTCAAAATTCCCAAAATTGCCTAAAAAACCCAAATTTGTCCAAACTCATTTCAAACCATTCCCCAATTCCCAATTTGACCAAAATCACTAAATTCCCAAACTACCCCAAGATTATCAAAAATTACCAAAATGGCCCTCATGACCTAATAATCCCCAAAAACTTTAAAAAAATCCAAAATCATCCCAAATATTCCCAATTTTAATTTTGAACCATCACATTGACCCAATTTGACCCATTTTGACCAAAATCTCCTTAAAGATCCAATTTTCCCAAATTAGCCCTAATGTCAAGCAAATTGACCTTAATCTTGCCCAATTTCAATTCCAAACCAAAATTCAACATCACTAATACCGATTGAAACCAAATACAAACCCAATTGACTAATACCGATTGAAACCAAATACAAACCCAATTTGACCCAATTGCAATCTCAATTTCACCCAAACCCAAGTCTAACCCAAAATCCCCAAATTGGCTCTATGTCCAAATTCCCCTAAATTGCCCTTCTAATTCAATTCAAAATAACTTGAGATCCTTTCAAAACTCTTCATGACATCTCCCTACACCAAATTAAACAATTAATTGACCCAAATTTTAGCCCAAATTTACCCCCAATTTTAAAAGCCAATGCCCTTAAGTAATTCAAAAAGCCCAAAATTCAATTAAAAGCCCACATGACAATTTTTCTCCTCGTCATCCATTTAATCAAAATCATTTCATAAGTTTTAAATCCATGATCAAATCATTCCAAATCAAGACTCATTACAAACTCTAAAAAAATGCCCCACAAATTCAAAAATCCCTTTTCATGCAAATTGACAAAGTCAAAGACAAGCCATGAAGCCATCCCCAAGCCAAAGGTGAGTCATATGAGTCTTTGCCACCTCACCAAGCTATTAATGGAAAAAGGAGGAGCCACTTTCAAGCTCCCTTAAAAATGTTTTAACCCTCGTAACGATACACTTTAATCCATGTTTAACCAAATCCAATGGATGGGGAGTTCTCCACACTATTTCAGTTGGCTCACCTGATCTTGGTCAACCATGGGGAGCCACCCAAGCTCAATCCAATGTGGTTAGACCCATGGTTGACCCAACCCAGCCCAATAGCCCTTTCTACTTCAATTAATCACCCTTACCCATGCACAAACCCAATTGGCTTCACATTTGCCCCCCCTGATCATTCTCAGTGGGATGGTGACCTAAGTTTGGTCGGCCAGCCACATTGACTGCTGGAAAAGCCAAATCCAAGAGCCTCACCTAAGCCAAAACCCAAAATTAAACTCATCCATGTGGCACCAATCCAATTGGCCATTGAAGTCTTTCTGCCCTCCAACTAGGCAACATCCCAACCACCTCATCTTAGCCTGAGAGCCACCATGGCCCCTTCTATTTAAATGCCCTCTTCAAGGCGAAGGGGGAAGTTTTTGAAATTCCTTGGGGAGACCCTAGCAAATTATTCCCAGAGCTTCTTCAAGACCTCTTAAGCTCAATACAACCATCTTCCAGCCCTCAAACCCATTGCCTGAGCTCAATTTTTTTGTTAAAAATCAGCCCAAACTAGGACATAATCCCCCACAGCTCCACAACGCACCAAAATCAAATTAATTGCACTCATATCATCCTCCACCTATCACTAGACCACCCCAACATATACTTTGATCAACACCCAAAATTGGGCTTAGTCGAAATCATGCCTAGGCAATTCACCACGACACAAGGATTCATCCAAGAACTCTCTGGACTTAACTCAAGCTTTTGGAAGCATGCAATCGAAGTCACACCTCTTGGACAAAGGTATTGAACTCTCCCTTTAAACCGAGCCTATTTTAATTCTCCATGCTCATAGACTCGATTTAAGATTTGATTAACCTATTGGATGTGTTCTCATAGTCTAGACGCGCCCATACGAACAAACCACACTTGATTTGTTTGAGTATCCAGAGAGACCTTAAGGTTTGAAGTTTAACGACTCTCGGGCTAGAGAGATCGGGGACGATGAACGGATGTCGTTTTTTTTTGCGTGTATCGATGGACTCTCTAGATTTTGCCGGATGAGGAGATGGTGTGCGAACCGCGGAACGCGTGGCGCTAAGGTGGCTGGCGGCGTCAAATGGTGGAGTGCCGCGTGTCATTTCGGAGTCGCCGCAGGATGAGTAAGATAAGTAGATAAATAGTCCTTTTTTTATATTTATTTAAATGATCAGAACTTCAAAATTTTATATCTTTGTGTATAAAAATCACAAAAATAAAAAAAAAATATCCTCATACTCAATGAACAAAGGAGAATGATGTGAAAATGGTTTCATGTCTATTTGATGCATGTGCGATTTTTAATCGATTTTTAATTAATTAAATAGTGTATTCCTTATTTGGATTCTCCATTTGCATTGACGTTTCACCATGACTTGATTTTTGAGGCTTTAGATCTCTTTCTCATGAGAGATATTCCCTGATTTTTTTAAGGTCAGGGGAGATATCTAGGCAATGATCTCTATTTTTCAAGCATTTCATGTTGGTTTTCAGTTGGACATATTATGATTTGTTTGATGGGATCATCCTCACAAATGAATAAATTAAACCTACCAATGTATGGCATAAGATGTGGTAGACACACCTTAAACCTGTACTCTCAGCTTTCCGACAAGCATGTTTTAATTTCTGCAAAATTATATATATGTTTTGCAAGTACTGACCTTTCAGGTGGAGGAACGGGAAGAATCGACAGACATGATTTTTTTTAAGGTATTGCATTGTCATTTACATCTATTTACCTTTTTTTGCCTCTCATTTTAGATTTGAAAATTTGCATGTTAAACAACATGGTCACCCTGCATGTCAAAACTAAAACTTTTAGGATAGTCATAGAAATGAAAGTAAAACCAAAAATTAAGAAATCAAAATAAGATAAAATTCACGCTACAACAGTCAAAATATAAGAAAACTCAAAATTTAAGACGCTACAACAGTCAAAATATAAGAAAACTCAAAATTTAATCACAAACAAAACAAAACAAAAATTGCAACTAAATTAAAACGTATTTATCGGATGATTGAGAATCCCTCAAATGAGGTAACATACGATCGCGAACGAAATTTCACATGCTCTAAATGAAAATATGGAACTCATCAAGTTGAGTTTGATAAATTCATTTGGACAAAATGAATTCGAAAAAAAATAATGGTGCTGTAACAAAGGAACCGAGAGATCCTAATCGGTGTCGCTCTAATCAACTTTAACATTCCCTATTATAATCTTAAGAAAAATGAGTTCAAGATCATCAAGTACTTCAAAAGCTATGCATCATCGCTGTGGTACACATAATTCTCAGTACACATCAAAAACAGAAGACAACCATAAGAGAGTATTTTATTCTGAAAAAGAACATGTGAAATTACATGTATTTTTGTTTGGTAGATGATATAGATGAGTTTGCTCTGGATAATGATCAAGTGATGGGAGATGACATTGAGAAAAAATTATTTCAAAGACTTAACCATTTTAACATGAAGAAAAACATCATTATAATATCGCTGGTTATTTTGTTAGTTCTAATTATTATGATATTACAAACAAAATGATGATTTATAATTAATGTATTGAAGAAATTTGAACTACTTATATATTTTCAAAATTGTTGTGGTTATTTTTGTTATCCTGCTATAATTATTTTAAATTTTTCACTCATTTAGATAAATTACATATAAAATGAAAAAACAATTCATATGAAATTACTGCAACCTACCAAATTTTCCAACTAAACTCTTGTTATTCCAACACAGCTTCTTGACAACGCAAGAGAAGTTGCTTCTTGAAAAAACAGCTATAAGTTGCCTCTTCAAAAAACTGCATGTATTTCAATCGCACTACATACCCTAAGAGCATGTTTAGTAAGGTTTTTTGTTTGCTTATCATTTTGAAAACTTTACAGGACCCACGAATAATACATGACCCAATATGCTAAAATGATTAAGCACTCGAAATTTATTCAAAATAATTCTATTTAGGATTCTATTTTTCTTAAACGAACCAATTAAAGCAAAAGTTACCCTAAACTTTCTCATTATGATTAATTTTTTTTATCCACCTAACTAGAAATTGACCATCTATATTATCATTATTGTTATTGTTGTTTGACAAAAATTAAAAATAAAAATAAAAGAGGCGTCGCTTATAAAATTATTTTGAATTAAGGAGGTAGAATTTCAACCTAAAACAATATTCAAACTCCTACAATTTGCATGTCACAAAACTCTTCCCATGGCATTAGTTCAAAGGTCTCCTTTAATAAATATATTGAATTTTATCTCACCTTATTAAGGACAAAATTTTAAAATAATAATAATAATTAAATTCTAACTAGAAAAAAATATTCTCCTCAAGAAATTTATTTGATGCAAATAATACACATATATGCTAAAAATATTTTTTCCTGATTATTTACATTTTCCTACCCATTATTTCTCCTATTTCCAATTCGAAGAAGAAGAGGATCGAAAAAGTAATTGCAAAAATATCCAAAACTTATCAAAACGAAAGAATTAATCCTTGGGTGGATTCTCCGACTTCCGCGCACTGTAAACTCCATCGCCGCCAACCGCCGCCACCGCCGCCACCGCCGCAGTCCAGCCGAAGGCCGCTCATATACCGCTGAACCTCCTCCTCAATCATCTTCCTCATCGCAGACATGAAGTGCGGGCTCCCCAACAACGCCTTCCCCGGACATCTACCGCGTTCTGCTGAGGCTGCCGCCACCGCCGGGATCTCTCCCGGAAGACTCAACGTCAGCATCGTAACAGGATCCCCCACCTCCGGCGTCATCGGCTCCGCCAAATTCAAATTCAAATCAGCCCTCCTACACTGTTTCTTTCCTCCCGATTCCGAGTCAGGGCTGGACCGCTCGGGGACTTTCAAGCTCGCGCCGCCCTCCGCCCTGCGCCGCCGCCGGAGAGTCGAATTCCAATGATTCTTTATAGAGTTATCCGTCCGGCCCGGAAGAAGTCGGGCGATCGTCGCCCATTTGTTTCCATGTTTGGCATGGGCTTCAACGATTATCCGATCTTCTTGGGTCGTAAAAGGGCGGTGGTGGACGTCCGGGCTCAATTGATTGCACCATCGTAGCCGGCAAGATTTCCCGGATCTCCCCTGTATTCCGGCACTGATCTGCGACCAGTTTCTGGCTCCATGTGTGCTAACTAACGACATCAGCAAAGCGTCTTCTTCCGGGCTCCAAGATCCCTTTACCCTGTCATCTTCTTCTCCTGTATCCATGGATTTGTTGCAGGTTTCTTCTCAGCTCATCTTCCTCCTCTGCTTATAAGAGGAGGAGGAGGAGAAGAAGAAGAGGGGAGTTATCGGTTGGTTTTCTTCGTTTTGGCTGTTCGCCGTTTAGGAGAGAAGAGTTTCGACGTTCAATAACCTATTTATTTTTTCTTTTTAATTTTTATTTATAAACCACCTAAATTTTTATTTTTATATCCATAACCCTTGCAAAAGTATCATCACCCCAACACACCTTTTTAAAAGATTGAGTGTAAATATGAAATTTTTTTATGATTAATGTATAAAAATGACTTTAAATTTCTCAATATTTTAATATTCATATTTTATAATAAATAAATAAATTAATTAATTAATTAATATAAGTATTTATAAAATTAAGTATACCACCCATAATAGACTTTGAAGATAAATAATAATGAATTAAAAATAAATAAATAAAAGAAGGGATAATTACATGTAAAGTGCCCAAAATATTCATATTTACAAATCATGCATCTCAAAATTTTTTGAGATACAAAACTGATGTATTTGCATGTGTCATAACCAAATCATTGTGAATTTGATAAAAATCAATTTAACGTGAATTTTTATATTTTTGTGTGAATTTTAAACAAAATGTAAAAGATTATGATTCATTTGTCAATTTTCATATTTAGGATGTTTTTTTTATAATTGCCACATAAATTAATTAATACTGCAAAAGTGGTTAAAAGAAAATATTTTTCATTTATTATTTTAAAAAAATAATAACATTTTATTATAGGAGTAGTTTCACACAAATCACCCGAAACTTACTATTTACAAATCAATAATTCTCTTGTATTCATTTTATAAATTTTCACTCAAATATCAAAATTCACGATAAAACCCAAATTTTTTTTTTCATTGTTTTCAAATTCTCAGTAGTTCGATCATAGCACGAGTAAATGCATAAGTTTGGTAGTTCAAAAAAATCACTTGAACGAATAATTTGTAAATATCAAAATTTTGCGGGCCTGTTTGTAATTATCTAATGTTAAAATAAATGAAATTTTGAATAAAAAACAGAAGAATAATGATGTGTAAATGACTCCAATCGGTTGGGAAATGAACCGAAAACCGCCACTCATTTAAACCTGTCCTCCTAAACCGCCGCCTCCATCATCATCTTCATCCAAATAACCGGAGAAAACCGGTCCAAGTCGACCGGTTCCCGCGCCGGGAGTTGGCGGGGGGATGTGAGATCGTAACGGTAACAGTAAGTCGGTGAGCATACCGTGGTCCCCGCATGAAGCCCTGCATTAAATACGCGGAAAAAGGCGGTGTGCCGATGGACGGCTGTGATCAGCTGCGGAGCGGGCCCCGCGGTTAGGGAAACGCCGCGCGGATCGTAACGGCCGGGCGGAAAGCCTTAACTGCGCCGGTTGCCGGTTCGGTGGCGGGTTTAGAACGACCTTTTGTCCGACAAATCGCGTTCTGCTGATCTGTTTGTCTCGGGACATCGGGCGTTGAAAAACGTCAAAACAGAACTGCTATTTAATGCTTTATTTTATTTTCGTTCTATTTGTTGGACTTGTACGGCACATGTTACGTTGAAAGGTTGAAAAGTTTACATATATACCATCCAATTCTTATCTATTTACATGTCTTATAGCTAAATTTTAATTTTTATATTTATACCCCCAATATTTTATAGGGAAGGTTAGGGCTGTCAAAATGGCTCGTTGTTCACAAACAACTCGTGTTCGGCATGTTAGCTAACTTAACGAGCCGAACAGCCGAACACGATATATATATATATATATATATATATGGTGAGTAGTCTTTTTAAAAAGTTTAATTGATTACAAGGCTACAAAGAGTTATAATCAATTAAAATATTAATTAAGAAAATAAAATAAAATTAATTAAATTTGATTCAAATGATATTTTAAATTTTGCCTCAATCTTTAATATCTTATAGATAAGTGATTATGGTTATCAAAACGACTCTTTGTTCGTGAACGGGTCATGTTCGGCTCGCTAAGCAAACGAGCCGACCACGAACACATTTTTTGAGCTCGAAATATAAACGAGCCGAACACGAGGGAACTTTGGCTCGTTTACACCCCTAGAGAAGATGGGGTTGTATATAAAAATTGAAGCTTATGTGTTAAATATGTAAATACTTGAGAATTTGGTGGCGTGTATGCGGATACTCCTATATTTAATTGAGGAATTTAAATAAATACCGTACAATCATTATGTATTATATATTCATATTTACATGCGCACACCTCAACTTTTTATATTTATATACCGGTCATTTGTTAAATGAATCATTTCGTATGTAATGGTAAAAGGTGCTTCTTTTACTCCACCTATAATACTTTCACTTAGCAAGTTGCCAATATTCTTATACTGATGAGATTTGATGGACACGTATTTCTTCCCTTATAAAACTAATTATTTCTTTTATTCAATTATTTTCTTCGTGTCAATAAAGATCAAAATAGACATAACGTAAAATTCAAGATTGACATGTATCACATCCTCATTTACGAGTTGCCGGACATTCACGTCGTTATTTTGTTTTATCAAGACATGATCAACAGACTTTGTACATGATGACTTGAGGACGACATAGAGATTCAATAGGATCTGGAGCAACATGTCAAACAATACAGGATTTGTCGCATGGTTAAAACTAGAGTTCAAAAGTAGGATTGTACACTCCATTACTATTGTCGGAGGCCCTGTGGGAAGATGTTAACATAAATTTTGTGGTGAGTCTTTTGAGAACACCAAAATAAAAAAATTTGTGATGGCTGTGATGAATAGATTATTGAAAAATACACATTTCATACTTTACAATCAAGCCTGACCCAATTTGAACTCGTGAAATAAGCATGATCAATTTGAAGCATATTCAATGATTACCGTAGATACATCAATAACTATCCCGTGATCCGACTCCTAGAAAAAAATTAGTAAATTAAAATAATATCAAAGCACATTGACATCTACTCATCTTAAAAGAGATGTGTTAATAGTTGATAATGTAGAAAACATATATATTCTATTTTCTTATTATTCTTACAATGACTTGTCAAATGAACAAAAGAATTGGGAAATTATAGCTATGTCAAAAGCGAGCTTTTGCGAGCCAAAGCACTTGTCAACAGACCTCCTAAGCCCAATTACTCAGAGGACACAACTTTAATCTAAGCAATCTGTTATGATGACCCGCCAGTCGATGAGCTAAATTGCCAAACTAATCTGTCAGATTCATCGGATGAACTAATCACGAGATATCAACTTACCGGATTCTCCGGACGAAGTCACATCAATCAAGATGAATATAAATGGACATTTTTGTCTTTGAATAGAGTGCGAATATAGCCAAAAACAAAGATGTCTCTCACAAATGGAATTGTTGAAAACAATAATAAATGAGGATGGTCCGGCATTTACGTATGTACCATCCAATTCTTATATAATTACATGTCTAACATATAAACTTCAAGTATTTTACTTATAATACGTAAATCTTTTATATCACATAAAAATATCATCATTTTAACTTTTAAAGTCAAATACACATTTCATGCATATGAATATGCATTGAGATTAAGAAGGGGGCAAATAAGTAAAAAATTTAAATTAAAGTATTAGATATGTAAATACAAAAGAATTGAGGGATAATTGAAAATTATTTATATGCTAAAAACTTAATCCCCATTTGGGGCAGCTTATAACTGCGGGCGACGTTTTGAAAACGCCGCCTTACCATTTGGAAAACACATTTTAACAACTTATTCAAAAACATAATTGGGTTTTTACACTAAATGCAGGTTGTGGGTCGAACCCGTGGGCCACATTTCAGGATAAGTTGCTTATCTGAATTAGCACAAGTTGTCCCAAACACATCCTTAATCCAATAGTATAAGCCCAAAAATCCTAGGAATCCTTCGCTCATGACTCCCACATAAAAATAATATAAAAAAAAGTAATATATTCATTTCACAGACCATAATATATTTCACAGACCATAATATATTCATGTCATAATGAAAATATTGTAATTGACTTCAATATAATATACAAGATATTTTAAATTTTTGGGCATTTACATACATACCACACAAGTTTTATATATTTACATATCTAGCACCAATATTTTTATATTTACGTATATATCACTCAAATCTTCAACACCATTTCATTTCGTGTAGGACTGTCAATACAACTCGTTGTTCGCAAACAGCTCGTGTTCGGCTCATTAAGAAGCTCGTATTCGGCCCCTTCGCTAAGTTAACGAGCTGAGCATGAACAACACGAACAAAGGTTTGTTCGTTTCGACTCGTTTTCGCTCGAAATACTACTAATCAATTATATATATACTTGATGAGTAATATTTTTAAAAATTTTAATTGACTACAAGGCTACAAAGATTTATAATCAATTAAAAGTATTAATTAAGAAAGAAGAATAAAAATTATTAAATTAGATTCAAATGATATTTTAATATAAACAAAAATTTTTAAATCTAGCCCCAATCCTTAATATTTTATGGCTACGTGTTTAGGGTTGTCAAAATGATTCTTTGTTCGTGAACGTGAACAGCTCGTGTTCCGCTCGTCCGCTCGTTAAGCAAACGATTCGAACACGAACACACTTTTTGAGCTCAAAATATAAACGAGCCGAACACAAGCTGAGCTTGGGCTCGCTCGTGCTAGGCTCGTTTACACCCCTAATTTCATGTATATCGTTATTATTGACTTTATTATTTGTACAATCCAATTCTTATGTATTTAAATATATAGCTCCGAAAAAAATAATAAATTAGCTCAGAATATTCTAATAAAAATAAACTTAAAATAAATTTATTATAAAGAGCTCTGAATGACATTTTGATTTATTTTTCTAACGTACATAGAACGGTCTCCAAGCCTTTTTATTGCTGCATGTGAGAAGATAAAAGAATTGTGGGGGGTATGCATGTAAATGCCCCTAAAATAAATATATGGTCAACTAAATTTAAATTTTCACCATAAAATAAGATATGGCAGTTTTATTAACCATAAAATAAGCCAGTAATAAATCAAAATTCCAAAATTCAATTGATGTGTGCCAGAAAATTCACGGCGGTAGAGTAATAGATTATCGTCTTAG